TGTTAAGGGAAATGGTTTATGACTGAAGGGCATATTTCAAGCACCTTTTAGTATCTCTGCATCTTTGGGAAATATGAGAATGGATGTTAATCAGTCGTGTATTAAAACATTGTTTAGTTATTCACCACCATTGGTTTTATTTTCATGATAGCTAGGGGAAAATGCTTAAAAGGGCAAATGGCAAGTAGCAGAATAGTAGATGACTACTGGAGCTGAGCTCATGTAGGTTAGTTAGTATTTTTGATAAGGAGAGGCCTTGTAGGGCTATAGCGGTGGGGAAGGCATGGGAGAGATGAGTTTCTGGCATGGATATAGATCTTTTATTGTGTAACAATAGCTTATTCTTTACACTGGAAGGAATACAAACAAAGTTGCTTAGCAGTCATGTGGGTGCTAAAGAATGGCCTTTGGAGGATCAGGCATTTGAATAAATTCAGCATTTTCAAGAAACTTGTAAACATCCTAGTTAGAGTGAGTTAGGGGCATCCATTTACTGACCATGCCTTCTTTCTTTCTGATAGTATTATCTTGTTCTGTTTTTCAGCCTCCTCATCTGGAGAGAAAGGGTTAGTGCCTCTTGGAACATTTTTCTCCAGAGGCAGGTGCTGAGAGTTGAGGCTCCCAGAAGGGCTCTTTTCCTAGAGAAAGAAGGGTTATAGTATACAAAGAATACCAAGAGAGGAGAGAAGAGAAAGGAGACCAGTTCCATGCATATAAAACTGATTTGGGCACAACTTCTATTTTTTGACCTCTTTATCTATGAAGTAGCAGTAGTACCTGCTTTCCTAGTACAGTGACTTGATGAATGTGTGAGTCTACTCTAAAACTACAGTTGTCTACTCTAAAACTACAGTTGACTGTATAACATTATGGAACTTTCCTATTGTTTTGCTAGTTTATATTCTGGCTTTAAAAAAAACATGCAGATCCACAAACAGACTAACTGAGGATATCCTTAGGAGAGGAACCCAAAGGTGTAACTCCTCTGAACATGTAAAATACTATTTATCAAAATGAATTTCAGAAAGTAGAAAAGTGGGGTTTTTTAATTATTGTTGTTATTGTTGGTGGCTTTTTTTGTATTTGGGGTATGCAAATAGGCAGCACAGAAATAGTGGATGGAAGAAGGATAAACAAAAGCAGTCATAGTATTCAATATATACTATGTAAAAAGTGAACTGTGCAACTTGTGGGCAGGGATAGGAGGGGGAAACTGAGAGAAAGCGAAGGAAAGGTTGATATTGTCTAAGAAGAATTACCTGACTCATGGAATTGTAATCCTTCTGTACAACTCCTTAATTATAACAACAAAATTATATTAAACAAAAACTAAAAAAGGTTTGTATCCTTTTTCATGCCTTCCTCCCTTCTTTCCTCCCTTATTTACCCTCTCCATTGGCTCTCCCCTTTCCTGCTGGTCCTCACCCCCCCTAGATAGCCTATTTTACTTTCCTGTCATTTATATTATACTTTAATTATACACAGTAATTCAAAAGTTCATATGGTACAATTTAGTCAGATTAACATCATATATTGCTCTGTTTCCTCTATATCTTTTAGGCCAGGGCCAGTGACTTATGTCTGTAATCCTAGCTCAGGAGGCTGAGATTTGAGGATCTGAGAATCTGAGGATCTGAGGACCAGAGGACCAGAGGATCACAGTCCTAAGTCAGCCTGAGTCTCTCCACTGAAAACTACCAAAAAAGCTGGAAGTAGAGCTGTGTGCTATCTTTGAGCAAAAGAAGCTCAGAGACAGTGCCCAGGCCTTGAGTTCAAGCCCTAGGAGTAATGTGTGTGCGCACGCGTGCATGCGCAGCCACGCATGTACAAACACAGAGAGAATTGTTTAAAAGCTGAATTCAGGAGTAATTATTATAGCTTTTTTTTTTTTTTTGGGTCCGGTCGTGGGGCCTGAACTCTGGGCCTGGGCGCTATCCCTCAGTTCTTCAGCTCAAGGCTAGCTCTCTACCACTTGAGCCACAGCGCCACTTCCGGCTTTTTTCATTTTGTTTATATGGGGCTGAGGAATTGAACCCGGGGCCTCAGGCATGCAAGGCAAGCGCTCTACCACTGAGCCACCTTCCCAGCCCTATAACTATTTTTATTTCCTTAAGCAAATTGAAAGAGAAGTAGAACATTATACTAACAACCATCTTGGAGGAGAGTTGAGCTTCAGTCTTCTTATAGCTTACTTATAGCTTACTTATTTACTCAGTATCCTGAGTAAAATGAGGACCTGGGCTAGAGTCTGAAAGGTTGAGCCTTACTTAACCATCACCTTGAACTCATTTCATAAATTTATCAAAAAGAACTATTATTTGTGTTCACTTCAGTAGCACACACACTAAAACTGAAATAATACAGATTAACATGATCCCTGAGCAAGGATAACATGCAAATTTATAAAGCATTTCATAATTTTCAGTTTCTAGCCAAAGAAATACAAATGGCTAGTAGTTAAATTAAGAAATGTTTCAACATATGAAGAAATGTTTCAATATCCTCAGCCAGAAATGAAATGCAAATCAAAATTATACTAATATTCCATCTCACCCCAATGAGAATGGTAATTATCAAGAAAACAAACAGTAGCAAGGGAGATCTTATTATACCAGTGCATTATGAACTTCCTCATGGCTTTTAGCATTTTATAGACATACTATAATTTAACTAGTGGTTGGGAATTTTCATTTGATAAAGTCTCAAATGATTCTAAGCCTGATAAAGCTTGATATGAGAAATGTGCGCTTTATTTTCCTATAACTTATATTTTCATGGTATGCTAATTTTTTTTTTTTTTGTCGGT